GCCCTGAGTCCCGCCGGGAATAGGGCGGCATATAAATAAAATGAACCTTGAACCTTGAACTAGCTCTTGATAAGAAAAGTTTGTTAGTACAAATTGGGGTCTGGCTTATCTCTTGTGAACCCTAAACAACCTTTCTCCTTACAATTTACTCCCCTTCAGACCTCATTTTAATAAACATGTATGCTATCATCCTGTCCAATCAATTTTCCTCTTTCGGACTTCTTTGTTATGTTAACTATTAAGCGGGATGTAAGCTAAAGATTGGAGTTCCCTCTTTGAATGAGGAATCCCTTTTGTCTGAATATTCTGATAAATTGTAATAAAATGATCTTCCTGTTTCGGTTTGTCTCATTGGAAAATATGCACAGCGAGGCACAAGCCAGAAAAAGCCATATTTGGCCATCAATTTTGGCAAGTTGCCAGCCAGCAGAATTTTGCCTCGGAGCAATGATTCCCAGTGGAGGGTAAGGAATAGGCAAGTGCACCCCTGGACTTTTTTTCAGGGCCTTTCTTTTGTCTTTGACTGGACACATTGCCTCAAAGGTGCTTTTAAAAAAGAGAAGATCATTGAATGGTAGGGATCTGAGAGGGAACAAAGCAGCCATCTGTCCTTCCAGGGACAGAGAAATTGGTGAGTCTGAATTTATTATAGTATTTCTAAGAATCCCCAATTCCCTTTTTCCTGTATGCAATGTAAAGCAGCTTCTTAGTTAATTACTTCCTTTGTGAAAAGGAGGTGTAAAGGCCTTTAGAAGGACCTTATTTGTAAAGTACTGGTATTAAAAAGGGGGGGGTGGGTGGGAAAGCTGAATACACAGGTCTGGAAATGTGTGTGTGTGTGTAAGTGTTTGTGTGAGTCATTTCTAAGAGTGGGGGAGGGCTAGTTAGCCTTTTCTAGTAATTAGTTTGGTTTGGTTTGGTTTATTAGATTTATATGCTGCCCTTCTCCCAAGGACTCAGGGCGGTGTACAACATTAAAAAAAACACACATATTACAAAAGTTAAAAAGAATTAAATAGAATATCCCAAACAAACCCAATTAGAATTAACAATGACATTTTTAAGAAAATTCGATAAAAATGATGATCAATATCAATGATCAATAATTTATTTTGTTTTGTTCAGGCCAGGCACGCTTGCTGGAAAAGCCAACTTTTTAGGGTGCGTCAGAAGGACTGGAGGTCGGGGATTATACGAAGCTCATTCCAGAGGGAAGGCGCTCCCACAGAGAAGACTCTCCCCCTGGGGGTCGCTAGCTGACACTGTCTGGCCGACGGCACCCTGAAGAGGCCAACCCTGTGGGATCGCACTGGACGGTGGGAGGCTACCAGTGGCAGTAGGTGGTCTCGCAGGTATCCTGGGCCTAAGCCATGGAGCGCTTTAAAGGTCATNGATCCAGGAAGGGGCGCAACTGACATACCAGGAGAATAATCAAGGCTCACCCCAGTGTTAATTTATTAACCGCGGGACTGAAGGAATTCCCTCCAGAAAGTAATGAGAGAGGCTCCTGCAAGCTGAAGGATTGTCTTCACATTCATACAGGAAAGGAGGAGAAAATCCGAGTCATACATCTGCATAGCTAATAGATAGTGTAAGCGTGAATATTCATAATCAGCGAACCTCAAGTTACTTTCCTGGCTTTCTACTGTTAATATTCTCAATGTCTTAAGAAGAAGAAATGCATCAGTTTAGATAAAGCACCATGAAAACCAAGACTGTCCCAATCAGCTTCCGTTCCCTTCTTTGCTTCCACCTGCTCCCACAGCTCTAAAACCTTGTTTTCCTTTTCTCTCTGCAGGACCTCCCTGACCATCATAGCAGGCGCAGCAGCAGCAGCAGCAGCAGCAATAATGGAAGCCCCACAGCCAACGGGTTCAAAGACCACCAACATCAGAAGCATCTCAGGAGTCTTTGTGGAAGCTTCTGGCAAGACCATGAGCCTGGCACAAGCTCTCCAGGACCACCTGATCCAACCGGATGTTGCCCTGGCCCTCCTGGAAGCCCAGGCAGCCACAGGTGGCATCGTTGACCTGGAGGGCGAGCGGCTCCTCCCTGTGGCGGAGGCCCTGGCGGTGGGATTGGCGGGGCTGGAAATGAAGGAGAAGTTGCTGTGTGCAGAGCGGGCAGTGACGGGTTTCCCTGACCCCTACACAGAGGAGAAGATCTCCCTCTACCAAGCCATCCAGAAAGAGCTGATCGGAAGAAAGCTGGGCCTGCATCTCCTGGAAGCCCAGATAGCCACCGGAGGGGTCCTTGAGCCTGTCTCTGGCCATCGCATCTCTCTGCAAGAGGCCTATGCACGGGGCTACTTGGACGAGGCCTTGGGTGGCTCCCTCTCTGACCCGGGCAACGAGGAGGCCCAGGGCTTCAGGGACCCTAATACCGACCAGAGGGTCCCCTACGCAGAACTGATGAGGAGGTGTGTTGCAGACCCAGCCAAAGGCCTGCTCTTGCTGCCTCTCAAGATCTCTTTCCCTGGACTGAGAGGGGCCGTGACTAGCCAGGAGCTGCTGAATTCTGGAGTCATGGACTCCGCTACCTTTGAAGCCCTCCAGAAGGGGGAGATGACTGTGCAGGAAGTGGCAGAGATGGACGTGGTGCAGCAGTCCACGTCGGAGATTGCCAGCATCGCTGGAGTAGCCGTCCTTTCAACGAATGAACGCAAGAGTCTTTACCAGGCCTTAGTGGAGCACCTCCTTCCTCCTGGCGTGGCTGAAATTCTCATGCAGGCTCAGGTGGCCTCGGGCTATTTAATTGACCCTGTAAAGAATGCAAAATTAACGGTGGCCGAGGCCGTCCGGGCAGGAGTTGTTGGGCCAGAGCTCTTTGGGAAATTGACTGTAGCCGAGAGAGCTGTCACGGGATACAAAGATCCCTACACAGGGGAGACCATCTCTTTGTTTCAAGCCATGCAGAAACACCTGGTGCCCAGAAACCAAGGCCTTTTCCTGCTGGATGTCCAGCTGGCCACTGGAGGCATCATTGACCCACATGCCCATCACCGGCTTCCTACAAAGACGGCCCTGCAGAGGGGCCATTTGGATGAAGAGACGTACAAGCTGCTGTGCAAACCTACGAACGAGGCCCGCAGATTCTTTGAGCCCAACTCAAAGGAAAAAGTGTCCTATGGGGAGCTGCTCTTGCGGGGCGTCTCTGATCCGGATACCGGGCTCTGCCTCTTGCCCGTTCCTGGAGATCACAAGAGGAGCCAGACCTTCATTGACCACAATACAAAGCTGGCCCTGAAAAACACCACGGTGTCCGTGGCTTCCGGGAGGTTCAAGAGAAGGCCCGTATCCCTCTGGAAGCTCCTCTTCTCGGAATACCTGACGGGAGAGCAGAGGAGAACTCTGACACAGCGATTCTCCTCCGGGTCCCTCTCTGCTCAGCAGCTGGCTGACAAAATCCGCCTCATGGTGGAGCAAACCGTTGCCGATTCCCGAGTCACCTTTGAAGGCCTGAGGGAAAAGGTGACCCCTGCTCAGCTCCTGAGCTCTGAAATCATCAACAGAGACTTATTTGAGAAGTTAACGCAGGGAGAGACCCTGGTCAAGGAGGTGACTAACATGGCCACGGTGAAGAAGTACTTGGAAGGGACTGGCAGCATTGGTGGGTTGCTCCTGCCTGACTCCCAGGAGAGACTGAGCATCTACGAAGCCAAGAGGAAGGGCTTCCTCCGCCCGGGAACGGCACTCATCCTTCTGGAGGCTCAAGCGGCCACGGGACACATCATTGACCCCGTGGCCAATCAGAGATATTCCGTGGAAGAGGCCTTGCGTGGCAACCTCATAGGTCCAGATGTGTATAGCAAGTTGCTGGCGGCTGAGAAAGCAGTGACTGGCTATAAGGATCCTTATACTGGGAACAAGATCTCCCTTTTCCAGGCAATGAAAAAAGAGCTCATCATCACCAAACATGCCATCCGCCTTCTGGAGGCCCAGATTGCCACCGGTGGCATCATCGATCCTGTCAACAGCCACCGCCTCCCTGTGGAAGTGGCTTACAAACGGGGCTATTTTGAGAAGAAAATGAGCCTGATCCTCTCCGATCCCAGTGATGACACCAAAGGCTTCTTTGATCCAAACACGCAGGAGAACCTAACTTATCTGCAGTTAAAGGAGAAGTGCCTGGTGGAACCCACCACAGGCCTCTGCCTCCTGCCACTCAACAGCAAGAAGCCCCAACCCCTGGATGATGCCACCAAGCAGGCTTTCAGGAGCTCCTGGCTCTTTGTCAAACACGGGCGCTTCCAAGGACAAAGAGTCTCCTTGTGGGATCTGCTGAACTCGGAGTACTTCAGTGAGGGAAAGAGAAAGGAAATCTTCAACCACTACCGCCTCAAGAAGCTCACCCTGGAGCAGATCTGCCTGACTTTGGAAGAGGAAATGAAGAAATGGGCTTGCATCCGGTTCCCAGCAATCCGAGGGAAAGTCAGTGCTTACCACCTGCTGGAGAGAGGCATCATTGACCGGGCCCTCTTGGAGCAGATCCTAGATGGAGCGGTGAGCCCAGAGGACGTGCTGCGCCTTGATTCGGTCCGGAGGTACCTCTATGGCACGGGAAGCATAGGGGGGATTCTGCTGCAGCCTTCCAATGAGAGGCTGAGCCTCTACGAAGCTATGAGAAGGAACATGGTGGTGCCCGGAGTAGCCCTGCCCTTGCTGGAGGCCCAAGCAGCCACTGGATTCCTGGTGGATCCTGTGAGCAGCCAGAAACTTTCCCTGGATGATGCAGTGAAGAAAGGCCTGGTTGGCCCTGAGCTTTATGAGGTCTTGCAACAGGCGGAAGAAGCCGTCACAGGCTACAGGGACCCCTTCACCGGCAAGGTCGTCTCCCTCTTCCAAGCAATGAAGAAAGGCCTTTTGGCAGACAGGAAAGCCAGGCAGCTGATGGATGCCCAGCTGGCTACTGGGGGGGTCATTGATCCACACAGCGGCCACTATGTCCCCATAGAATTTGCCCAGAGAAATGGCCACCTGGATGAGGAGTTTAGGAAAACCCTTTCCAACCCGGACAGCAACTCCAAGGCTTTCAGCATGCTGGACAGGAGAGAAAGGGTCGGCTACAGCCAGTTGATGGACCAGTGTCTGGAGGAGGCCCATTCAGGCATTCGCCTCTTGCCTCTGGCACAAACAACGTCTGCTGGCTCCACCGAAGAGCAGACCCAGCAGCGCCTTCAGGAGACCCTCGTGGAGGACAAGGGGGTCTCTCTCTGGGACCTCCTGAGTTCCGGTTACTTCACTGAGGAGCAGAAGTCAGACTTTTTGGAGAAGTACAGCTCTGGAGCAGTTTCCCTCCGCCAGCTGGTCAGCCTGGTCCAGGAGCGTATTAACGACATAGACATGAAAGCTAAGACGCAGGTCACTCTACAAGGCCTGAGAGGAGCGGTGCCAGCCGTCTGGCTCGTAGATGCAGGCATCATTTCAGAAAAGGTGTTTGCTGAGCTGGCCCAAGGCAAGAGATCTCCCAGAGAAGTGTCCGAGATGGAAAGCGTCAAGCCGTACTTGCAGGGCACAGGAAGCATTGCTGGAGTTTTCCTTCAGTCCTCCAAAGAAAAAATGGGCATTTACCAAGCTATGCGGGAAAGGCTTCTCCTGCCACGGATGGCGGCACAGCTGCTCAGCACCCAGGCAGCCACTGGCTCCATCGTGGACCCGGTGTCTAATCGGAGGTTTGCCGCCGTTGAGGATGCCATCAAAAGTGGCGTTGTGGGAGAAGAGCTGATGGAAGAGTTGCTGCAAGCCGAGAGGGCAGTGACTGGCTTCCCTGACCCCTACTCGGGGAAACCAATCTCGGTGTGCCAGGCTATTAGGAAGGAGCTCCTCCCTGCCGGCGTGGGCATCCCTTTGCTTCAGGCTCAGCTGGCCACCGGAGGAATCATTGACCCTGTTCACTGCCACCACCTGCCCCTCCAAGTGGCCTTCAAGCACGGCTTGATTGACGAAGAAATGCAGATGGCTCTTTCTCAGGACAGCAAGGAGATCCAGGTTTTCTTTGACCCGAATACCCAGGAGAGCCTGACCTATCAGCGCCTGAAGGACAGGTGCATCCAGGATCCTGAGTCGGGGCTCTGGCTTCTCCCACTGTCTGAAGAGGCAGCTTTTTATGGAGACCAGCAAGCCGTGGAAGTGCTAAACTCTTTCCTTGTCTCGGTCAGCACTGGGAGGTTTAAGGGGCAAGAGGTTTCTCTCTGGGACTTGCTTCACTCAGAGTACATCCCGGATACCAAGCGGAGGGAGCTGGTGCTGAGATACAAAGGTGCACACGAGGAGCTTCTTCAGGAAATGGCATCGTCCATCAAGAATGTCATCGAAGAGACAGAGCAACAAGGCAAGAGGTTCACCTTCAAAGGCCTGAGGAAGAAGGTGTCAGCCAACGACCTCTTCCAGTCCCAGCTGATAGACATGACGACCCTGGACGAACTCAGGCAGGGGAAGACAACTGTCCAGGAAGTCAGCGAGATGGATTCCGTCAAGTGCTTCCTGGAGGGGTGCAACTTCATTGCAGGGGTCCTCATAGAACCGGATCATGAAAAAATGAGCCTCTATCAAGCCATGAGGCGAGGTCTGCTGAGACCAGGGGCAGCTCTGGTCCTACTGGAGGCCCAGGCAGCCACAGGGTACCTCATTGACCCTGTGAAAAACAAGAAGCTCTCTGTGGACGAAGCCATGACAGCAGGGCTGATTGGAAAAGAAATTCATGGGAAGCTGCTGAGTGCAGAAAAAGCCGTCACTGGATACACGGATCCTTACACCAACGGGCAGATCTCCCTCTTCGAGGCCATGAATCAGGAGCTGATTGTGAGGAGCCATGGCATCCGCCTGCTGGAGGCGCAGATTGCTACGGGGGGCATCATCGACCCCGTGCACAGCCACCGCATCCCCGTGGAGGTTGCATATAAGCGAGGCTACTTTGATGAAGACCTGAACCGCATCCTTTTGGACCCCACGGATGATACCAAAGGATTCTTTGACCCCAATACTCACGAGAACCTCACTTACCTTCAGCTTCTCGAACGCTGCATCCAAGATTCAGAAACTGGGCTGTACCTGCTGCAGATTGTCAGAAGAGGGGAAGCCTACTTCTACATTGACGAAGCAACAAAAGGATTTTTGAGAATGCAGACTATGCATGTACAGGTCGGTCGGTATAAAGGCCAAGCGGTCTCTCTGTGGAGCCTCCTCTGTTCCCCATACATCCATGAACAGAAGAGGAAAGATCTGGTCAGGCAGTACAAGGGTGAGAAGCTCAGTTTGCCGCAGCTCTGCAGAACCATTGCCGCCATCGTGGAGGAAACGGAGCGGGCAACCCAGGAGCTGAAGCTGAAGGGGCTGCGGGGGCAAGAGGTCTCTGCTGCAGAGCTCTTCAATGCAGAAATCCTTGACAAGGCGACTGTGGACCGGCTGCACCAGAAGACCCTTCCGCTGCAGCAGCTTGCCCAGAGGGACACCGTGAAGCGCTACCTGGAGGGGACAGGCTGCATTGCAGGTGTCTTGGTAGCTGGGGAGAAGCTGCTTGCCTATGAGGCCATGAAGAGAGGCTTTATCTCCCCAGAACACGCTCTGCCGTTACTAGAAGTGCAAGCTGCCACAGGGCTCCTGACTGACCCGCTGGGGAAGAAGTCCCTCTCAGTTGACCAGGCCGTCTCTCTTGGGCTGGTTGGGGAGGAGTTCCACAAGGCGCTCCTCCTTGCTGAGAAAGCCGTTACTGGACACACCGACCCCTCCACAGGAGACAAGGTCTCCCTTTTCCAAGCCATGCAAAGTAAACTGGTAGAGAAGGCCTATGCCCTCCGGCTGCTGGAGGCGCAGATGGCCGCGGGGGGCATCATTGACCCCGTGCACAGTCACCGCCTCCCTGTGGAGGTGGCTTGCAGGCGGGGCTACTTGGATGAAGAAACCTGCATCCTGCTTTCTGACGAGGGGCTTGTTCCCAAAGGATTTGTAGATCCCAACACCCAGGAAAGGATTACCTACGCTCAGCTCCTGCTCAGGTGCACCAAAGATGCAAAGACAGGGGCATACCTGCTGCCGTTATTAGAGAAGAGAGAGTATATATTTGTGGATGAAAAAACGAAGCGTGTCCTCTCATCTTGCAAAATAAACGTAGGTCTTGGGAAATACAAAGGACATGCCATTTCCCTTTGGGAACTCCTTTCTTCTGACTACATTACAAAAGAAAAGCAGAAAGAAATGATTAAAAAATATAAAGAGGGGGGTGTTGAAATTCTGAAGTCTATCGCAGGGCAAATACTGAAGATAATAGAGGAAAGAGAAGACCACAGAAAAGACATATGGTTCCAAGGACTACGGTGGCAAGTCACAGCTTCCGAACTACAAAAGGCAGAGATCATTGATGAAGAAACGTTGAACAATTTGGAAGAAGGAAAAGAGAGAGCGCAGGATGTCGCCCAGATGGATTCAGTGAAGAGGTACCTGGAAGGCAACAGCTGCATGGCTGGAGTGCTGGTGCCATCCAGGGCAGACCCTTCCAAGTCAGAGAAGATGACCATCTACCAGGCCATGCGGAAAGGCATTCTGAGGCCAGGCACGGCCCTGGTGTTGCTGGAGGCACAGGCCGCCACGGGCTTCATCACCGACCCCCTGGGGAATCAGAAACTCTCCGTCGATGACGCTGTCTCTGTTGAACTGGTTGGGGCCGAGCTGCAGGAGAAGCTTCGCTCTGCAGAGAGGGCTGTGACTGGATATAAGGACCCCTATACGGGAAACAAGCTCTCCCTCTTCCAGGCCATGAAGAAAGGTCTCATAGTCAAAGAGCATGGGATCCGCCTGCTGGAAGCCCAGATTGCCACGGGGGGCATCATTGATCCTGTGCACAGTCACCGCCTCCCCGTGGAAGTAGCGTACAAGCGGGGCTACTTTGATGAGGAAATGAACCGGATCCTCTCTGATCCCACCGACGACACCAAGGGTTTCTTTGACCCAAACACACACGAAAACCTCACTTACCTGAAGCTTCTGCAGCGGTGCCTGCCCGACCCAGAAACTGGTTTGCTGCTGCTCCACGTCATGGACAAGGGCTGCTTCTCCTCTTCCCTCAACGAGAACACCCGGAAGGCTTTGCAGGCGGCCAAGACCCAGATCGGCGTGGGGCTGTTCCGGGACC